TACCAAATCAAAACACTGGTTTTAACAGAATAATTGAGGCAAATCAATATTGCTTTGAAAAGTCCCAATTTTTCCCTTTAAGTGAGTTTCTCGATGAGTGCCGGCAGCCTGTGGACCCGAGTGGCCTGGCCTTATTATGGTGTTGGTCAAAGTCCAGCAGAATTCCCACAACCCGGAAGTTTCACCCTTTAATTCTAGGAGACTCAATATGGCACTATCAATTTCAGTGCACTTTTTCAATAATCGTTACATTTCCACAAAAACACTGGATACCTCAGAATTAGACTGTCATCAAACAACACTATATTTTTCAATGATCCCTTAGTTTGAAGCCCTGCCCCTCTTTGTTTTTATCAAAGTCACATAGACGCTCTCCAGCTTACTTTAAAAAAAACAAACCAAAAAGTCCACCTAAAAGAGTTGTAGTTCCTAAATAACCAATAAATACACCGCTGGCTTGGAGACTTGGGGCCTGCCACTGTGCCTCGTGCCACTGTCATTTTTCTCCAAATGCTGCCTCTGCCATCGGCGTCCTTATGCTTCCTCTAGTGGAGGCCGTCAATTCTACAATCTCAGCGTTTAATTTGTTTATTACCCATTCTATGGCTTCTCGACCTTTGCTAGCGTTGGAAGAGATGGTACCCGCCGTGAGACTTTCCAGGTAGCTGCTGAGGCTGACGCCCTTGACGGTGATGATGGCTTCCTGAGTGAGAATCGTTTTGCCCGCGTGCTGAGGATGAGGCTTGTAGATGAGCCTCTCGTCCACAGAGACCACATTTGTAAAGGAAATATTAGTGGATTTCAGTTCCATCGTTTTCTCTACTGGGTCAACTACAGAATGCTCCTGCACGTATGTCTTTGTTCGAGCTGCACCGGTAAGAGATCGCACCACAGAAGGCAGGCCCCAGTCCGTGCTCAGAAGCCGCAGGCTGTGCAGCTTACCCGAGGGGTCCACGTGCCTGTGCAGGACGTCGCCGCCCACCACGCTGGGGTTCATCGGGTTGGGGTACTTCTGCATCTCAGCCGTTGTGACTATTTCCCAGGGGTGGTCGAAGACATGCTCTGAGGTCCAGATCTTCATGGTGCCAGCGACCCGCGCGACGACCCGGCGGCGGCACTAAGGCCCAACGAGGCCAGAAGCGACTCTTGTCCTTGTTTTTTGTAATATGCATTCCCCCATGTCTGTCTGGACTCCTTTTTCCTTTTGGGGTTTTTCTCAGGGTGCCATAGTCTTACCTTCGTTGGTTTTTCGAAAGACAGCATTACCTGAGGTGTCTGACATTCTTAGTTGTTGAATACCTCGGATGTGATGTCGACCATGCTGATTTGAGTTTGTGCCAATGGCTCAGTCCATGTTTTGCAGTCTCCCCCGAATGTCAGGGATGCTCTGGGAAACAGAAGTCAGGTTAATCATTCAGACACTAGCAGAGTCTTCTGGGCCAAGGTCGGTGTACTTACAGAAAGCATGGTGCAGCCTTTCAAAAACGGGAAAGGATTTCTATTTGATTAGTGGCTCCTATCATTTTCCGGCTTGGAGCTTCCTTTCTTCTTCTTGGCCTTAGAGACTGTACTTTTTGGGCTGTCCTTACCATTGGCTTCTGCCATTCAAATGCTAATTAGGCTTAGTGAAACAACTGTCTTCAAATAATCTCTAAGAAAGCAAGCTGCTACTACTATTTGTCGCTACTCTTCACCAGACAGAAGTGGGATTTTTTAAAAAAAAGTTGAATCTGTTCACTTAGCAAAGAAAATAGTGATTATTAAGTCTGTTATTTTAATCATCACCTTAACAGAAATAGTCTGAAATTTTTATTTTTCTCACTTTGACTGATCTGAGGCAGGGAAAAGAGAACGCTCTTCATAAGATCTTTGGTTTACCCATATACATTATAGAGTTTCTGGATAACTACCTGAGGGGATATTGTTTGGCCTTGTTCTGAGCAGCCTGGCTGAAAGGATGTTCTTGTTGTTGTTGTTGTTAATTGCCGTCAAGTTATAGGCAACTCATAGCGACTCTATGAATGAAAGACCTGATCACTTGTATAACTTTCATCGTTTCTCCAAGTCCATAGAGTTTCTGGAGGCAAGCTATTTTAGAAGTGGATGCCACTCCTGCTTCCAAGCTTTTTTTTTTTAATGTATTTCTTTTTCATTTCAATGAACATCTACAGAGATTTTGGAATTCCATTCATTCATTGTTGCACCCTTCTCCCCCCCAACCCTACCTCACCCCTTCCCCCCCACCTCGTTTGCTCCTCTCCTTGAAAAGCAAAAGAAAAACTCCCTCATTGGTACACAATTCCCCCCACACCTCCCCCAATCCCATCCCAACCCCAAATATAATCCACTCTGCAACCCTTATTGCATATTCCTCCGATAAACATAATGCCCTAAAATATAATACTTTTAAAACTATTCTCTCCCCCATAGACTTCAATGCCATAAACATATTTCATCCAGTTTTTCTCAGTCTTACCCCCACCCCAATGCCAGCCTCATTCTACAACAGTGGCACCATATAGCATTTGTCCCTTTGTGACTGAGATACCTCACTCAGCATAATGTCCTCCAGGGTCACCCATTTTGAATAATATTGCATGAGTTCCTTGTTTTTCAATGCAGCATAGTATTCTATTGTGCGAATATACCACAGCTTCTCTACCCATTCATTTGTTGATGGGCATTTAGGTTGTTTCCAACTCCTTACTATTGTAAACAAAGCCGCGATAAACATGGGTATGCATATATCTACTTGGATGTCATTTATGGTCCAAGCTTTTTTTAATTGGGGAGCTCTATCAAACACTGTCCACCATGGGTAACCATTATCACATTTGACACATCAGCATCACAGCAACCACGAGATACCTTTGTACAGCAAATGGACAGACGAGTGCTATGCCACTTAGAAGAATGCTTGACCGAACACAATTAAAACCAGGCCTGAGGGCTGCAAACTAAAATCACCCACCTTTGGCAGGTAGCATCACTTTCTGTTCACTAGGCCAACTGAGCTCTATGTTGTTGTTGTTAATTGCTGTCTAGCCACAGGCAACTCATAACGACCCTATGAGAACAAAAGACCTGAACACCTGTACAACTTTCATCATTTATCCAAGTTCATGGGGGTTCTGGAGGCAAGCTATTTTGGAAATGGAAGCCACTCCTGCTTCCAAGCTGGGCCCAGATGTCTTTTTCAGTAAGAGGCCAAATGCAATCAACTCACACCAAGTGGCAAGTAATTACTCCACCCTAACCATCACCAGAACCAGAAAACAAACCTCTGTAGAAAATCCGGCTGCTCCAGACTACTTCCCAACCAGCCCTATACTGGTGACCAAATGCCTTTTTAGATTGTTGTTGAATGCCGTCTAGTCACACACAGCTCACAGTGACCCTATGAACAAAAGGCCTGAAGCCTTTCCATAACTATCATTGTTTCCAGAGTTTCCAGAGGCATGTGGTTTAGGAAGTGGATGCCACTCCTGTTTCCAAGCCTGTCTTTTTTTTTTTTTTAATTTTTGTGTGAGTGTACCATCACATCAGATCTGACTGGTACAGGAGGAGTTTGTCCCTCCTTCCCTGGCAAAGCATCTGGTGGATTTGAACCGTGCACCTCTGGGATTGTAGTTGCAGCTCCTTACCACTAGGCCACCAGAGCTCCCCTTCCAAGCCTGTCTTAAACTGGGAGCTCCACCAAACACAGTCCATCTTGGGTAGCCATTATGGCATTTGTCCCCCAATGGCACAAGGTTCAACATCACAGCAAACCCAGATTATCTCAGTGCAGCAAAATTTACAGAGGAGTGCTGCAAAATTTAGAAAAATGTTCCTCCAAAAATAACACGAGACCCTCAGCCCAACTGATATTTAAATACAGGGGCCCTCTGTATGTATGTATGTATGTTGTTGTTGTTTGTTGTTATGTGCCGTCGAGTGGCTTGCGAGTCATAGCGACCCTATGTACAACAGCCCTAAACTCTGTTCTGTCCTGTGCCAATCGCACTGTCTCTGACACTCCCATCCCAA